TCGCTGAAGGATTCAAAGGCAGATTTGAGCAGGCAGAAAGAACCAGGAAACTTGAAGGCAGGACAATGGGGACATTATGGAGTCTGAGGAACACAAAGAAAAAAAAGATTAAAGAAAAGTGAACAGAGCCGAAGGGACCTGTAGGACCAGCAAGTTAACCAGCATACACGTTCTTGGAATTCCAGAAGGAGAAAATGGTGCAGAGATACTATTTGAAGAAATAATGCCTGAAAACGTCCCCAAGTTTGATGGAAGACATGAATGTTAACATCCAATAAGTTTGATGAACTCTAGTTAAAATGAACTGAAAGACACCCACACTGAGACATTATAATGAAACTTTGAAAAGCCATAGACAAGAACAGAATCTCGAAAGCAGCAAGAGAAGTAAATCATCACATAGAAATTATCCTCAATAAGATTATCAGCAGATTTCTTTTTTTTAGACTTGCCCTGAGTTTTAATTGAAAATATTAAAACAGCTTAATAATTATAAAACTTTGATAATTAAATTGTACTGTTACTTATGAGGCATATATTCATTATTTTTGTAGACCTGAAAGAAACTTTGCATACTTGTTTTTCTGTTCTCCGTTTCAGAGGAAGATTATGAAGAGAAGATCTATAATATGTATAAATGAAAGCCGAACTGAGTTAGAAAAGAAATACGAAGAGAACAAACTCGATACACAGCTGTACCGTAAGAGCATAGGTGGTTTTTAGCTCGTGTTTTGAGTGTGAAAATGTAGCTCATCTCACACGAAACAAAAGCAGGTGCAAGAGTAAAGATGAGTTATGAAAACCCCAATCAATTATTTTTAGCATGCCTCTTAATTTTTCTTTCTCCTGGTTTCTTGTCTTCTGTGCCTGAGTCTTGAATAGGTGACCACTTGAGGGGGTGCCGACGATAAATGGGCCATGGAGGAAGTGTCAGCAAACACGAAAAGGCAAATCCGGCCATAACTATATAGACAGTCCACCCGAACTGTTCCGCCATGTACCCGTAAATAAATCCAACTATTGCTGAAAAAATAATAATTCCCTGAAACATCTGTTCCGCTAGCTTCTGGCCCTTGTAATCCATTAGTGTGGGCAGCGAGCTCTGTTGCTCCAGCATGACTAGCTGAGGAGGCGGGCAGCGGAGTGCTGGAGGGGGACAGCGAGGCGAGGGCAGCCATGACTCAGGGGCCGTAGGGGATGAGGTCTGGTTCTTGATACAGTTTCGCGTGCCGGACGAGCCAGGGAGTACGATGGCCGCAGCCCCCTCAGCAGATTTCTCATCAAAAACTTGGGAGGCCAAAAGACAATGGGACAATATATTTAAAGTGTTAAAGACAAAACTATCAACCAAGAATTCTGTATCCGGCAAAACCGCCCCCAAAGAGTGAGGGAGAAATTAAGACATTCCCAAATAAAAACAGAGGGCATTCGTCATCTCTAGACCTGCCTTGCAAGAAATGCTCAAGGGAATCCAACAAGGTGAAATGAAAGGACACTGGACAGTAACCCAGAGCCTTATGGAGAAATAAAGATCTCAATAAAAGCAAATAAGTGGGCAGTTATAAAAGCTAATGTTATTGTTACAATGGTTTGTAACTATAGTTTTTGTTTCCTACACAATTTAAGAGATCAGTACATTTAAGGTCCGGTAGATTAGTGTAAAAGCTAGTACTACTGTAAATTTTGTTTTCTATGCAATTTAACAAACTGCATTTAAAAGAATTACTAGTTACGTTTTTTGGCACACAAGTATAAAGAGGTAATTTTGTGACATAACAACTGAAAGGGTTAGGGATGGAGCTGTAAAGGAGCAGAGTTTTTGTATGTTACTGTGGTTAAGTTAGTATAACTTTAGAGGGTTATAACTTGAAGATGTTAAACGTAATCCCCATGAAAATAACAAAGAGAATAGCTCTAGTTAATATTCAACTATAGTAGTGTTTTAAAAGTTAAATGAAGAATAAACTCAGATAAAAAATGTCTCTAGAATATACACAAAAGGAAATGAGAAAAGAATTTAAACATTTCGCTACAAAAAAAATCAGCTAAACACAAAAGAAGGCAGTAATGCAGGAAATGGGGGGAAAAGCTATGTAAGGCATATAGAAAACAAATAGCATGATGATATAAATAACTTCCTTTTATCGGTAATTACTTTAAATGTAAATGGATTCAACCTTTCAATCCAAAGACAGAAATTGGCAGAATGGATAAAAGCACATGATCCAACTGTATGCTATCTACAAGAAACATTAGACTCAGAGATACAAACAAGTTGAAATTAAAAGGATGGAAAAAGATATTCCATGCAAGTAGTAACCAAAAGAGATCAAGTGTGGCTATACTAATTTCTGACAAAATAAACGTCAAAAAAGATTATAAGAGACAATGATGGACATAATATATTAATAAAAGGTTCAATACAGCAAGAAGCTGGAACAGTTATAAATATTTACATATCTAATTACAAACCATCAAAATACATGAAGCAAAAACTGACAATTGAAGGGAGAAATAGTTCTACACTAATAGTTGGAGACTTCAATACCCCATTCACAATATTGGATAGAACAACCAAACAGAAGTAAAGAATTTAAACACCACAATAAACCGACTATTTCTAACAGACATATACAGAACACTACCTAAACAACAGAATACACACTCTTCTCAAGCACACATGGGACATTTTCCAGGATAGATCATATACATGATAGCTCACAAATTAAGTCTCAATAGATTTTAAAAGATAGATATCGAGCCGGCCAAGTGGCGCATTGGTTAAGAACTGGTTTGGGATGCCAGAAGACCCCGGTTCGGATCCCACATATGAGGGCCAGTGACACTGCCCTCTACAGCTAAGATGCTGAACGGCAGCTCGACCTGGAGCTGGGCTGCCCGTGAGTTGCCAGCGACAGCATAGGCTGCAGTCCCCTGCTGCAATGAGCTTCCATAAGCTACCGTGTGTAGCTAGCAACCAGCGTGAGCGGCCAGCAGCTGCAGTGAGTGGCCGTCCAGAGGCTGGCAACTGATCTGCTTCGCCCGGGAAGAGCGCAATGATGGTGCCAGCTTGGGCCAGTGAAGCAACATCCTCCACAACTAGACTGAAGAACAAATAGCAACTTGTCTGTTCCCCTTTCCCCAATTCCCCAGCGCTGTTCCCCTCCCCCAATTCCCCAATAAAATCTAAAAAAAAAAAAGATAGATATCATATCAAGTATTTTTTCCAGCCACAACAGAATGAAGTTAGAAACCATTAACAAAAGGAAATCTTGAGCGTTCAGAAAATTGGTAGATGCTGTGGGAGGGGAAAATGGGGAGTTATTGTTTAGTGGGTATAGACTTTCAGTTTTTACAAGATGAAAGGAGTTATGGGGATGGGTGATAGTGTTGATTGTATAACTGTGAATATGTTCAATACAGCTGAACTATGCACTTAATAATAGCTAAGATGGTAAATTTACTTGTATGTTAAGTGTATTTTACCACATAATTTTTTTAATACTGCAAGTTTATCTCACATTATCTGTATTATGTTCTAGTTTGCTCATCATGCTACCACCAAATGTATCTTTCTAAGACACTGCTTTATTTATATCATTTCTATGCTCAAAAATTTGCATTGGCATCTGGTGTCTGGCCTCTGTCTATCTTTCTCTCCTTACCTCATACATTAAAAAAATACATTAAAATCGTACATTACCTAATTACTTCACTTTCTCCCAATTCCGTCTGCAACCTTTTGATTCCCAATAAATACACTTGCTGTTCCTACCTTTAATGCTGTTCTTTCCCCCTTTTTTCTCCTCATGTGTAAATCTTTTTAAGAACCTACTTAAATTCAAACTCCCCTAGGAAATATCCCCTAAATGCTGCATTTCTGGTGACTTCTCTTCTAAAAACCTGTGATTAAGCAATTCATTTTATTGGTATGCGCTTGTCTTGTTTCTCCAAATATCTAAATTGAATTGACTCATAGCTGTATCTTAAATTTATTTTTATTTACCCACTTGACTTAATAACATGATTTGACTTTTTGATATTTTGTGAATAATAAGAAGATGCTCTTCAAGTAAATTTCAGACCTATCTGTCAGATTCTAGAGCATCTGGTAGTGTTTCTGCAAAAGATACACTTGAAATTCAGATTGGATACTAGCCCTTGTTAAGGTTTTTTAGAGCAGTTAAATATGGTACCAGTAAGTGGTCTTTTTGTAAGGTGACTGGTATATTTTTTCAGGCAATAAAATAATTTTGAGAAATTTGGAATCTTAATTTTTTTTGCTGTAGTATTGTATCAGAAATAAGTATTCATATCTGAGTACTAACACTTACCTCTGTTCATGTGCTAGATTAACATCATGTCATTGTTTTAATGCTTATAAACATTTTTGTTTTGTTTTTAAGTCAGATGAGTTAAAACAGACTTGAAGTTAACAATTCTGTTACTTTACTGTGGTACTGCATTTTTTTTCTATATGGAAGTCAAGTTTTAATGTTTCTAAGTCAATAGTTTGCACAAAAGTTTGTTTCTAGTTGTGTGTGTGCGCACACACGTGCGTGCCCATCTCTTCTCTAGGGTTATGATTAGGATAGTGAAGTATTAAATTTATTGCTCTTAAGAACCTATAGAGAACATTTCAATAATTTCTATGCCCTCTGTCAAACACCTATAAAAATGAGTATTATTTCAAGAAGTTTAATGGGGACTGTGTTTATCATGTGCACAAAACTAAACAATGGATTAGACTTTTGACCTATTATTTGGAGTAGTATCCATTTTAAGGAATTTTACCTATTGGTTTTAGAGAATCTAATTAGAATGTAAGTTGCCCAAGAGTAGGGATTTTATCTTCTACTTCTTTGTATTCTTAACATCTAATGTCTTACATCATAATGCTTCAATAAATGTTAACATGATGTCAGTTTTTCTGGCTTTTGTTTTTATTGTGGGAGAATGAATTTTACTCTGATTTTATTCAATTTGTTTTCTTTTCACAGCCCCATTGACAAACCTTCAGATTCTCTCAGTATAGGGAATGGTGAAAATTCCCAGCAGGTAAGGTTTTGATACTGTATTGCTTCATTTATCTGCTATCCCTCACAACAAGGCATCCTGTGTAAGTGAATTTTCTAGATACTGAAAAATACTTTCAATACCAAACAATTTAAAAACACTTTTAGTGGACATCTTTGTTAAATGTATTATATAATTAGCCTTGTTTTCCTCCACAGAATATATAGAGCATAATTTAACCCTTTCTTGATGACTTAGACTTATCATTATGACCATGTTGTTGTACTGTGTGGCAATACAGTGGTGTCCTTACAATCTGCTGTATTATTGGTGGTTTTGAGCCTATACAAAATGGCCCTAGGCTAGCATGCCTTCTTCATTCTTACTATAAGAGTTGTTTCTATGTCATGTGCTCTCCTTGTCCCTTGCTGTCAACTTTAATTTTCTATTTCTCTCAGTGTACTTGCCCCCAACAGTTTTCCCCCTCCCCGCAAATGACTGGGATTTGAAATGACAAATCCAAATAGTTAATTTCAAAATTATACCCAAAATGATAACTGAGTGAAGTCCTGATCTTTATTTATTTATTTATTTATTTATTTAAATTTTTTATTTATTATTTTTTTTTTATTATTGGGGAATTGCCGGGAGGGGAACAGCGCTGGGGAATTGGGGGAAGGGGAACAGACAAGTTGCTGTCGTTTTGTTCTTCAATCTAGTTGTGGAGGTCGTTGCTTCACTGGCCCAAGTTGGCACCATCATTTTGCTCTTCTCTGGCGAGGCAGATCAGTCGCCGGCTTCTGGACGGCCGCTCACTGCGGCTGCTGGCCGCTCACGTTGGCTGCTGGCTACACACGGTAGCCCATGGCAACCCACTGCCACAGGGACTGCAGCCTACGCCGCCGCTGGCGACTCATGGCAGCCCAGCTCCAGGTTGAGCTGTTGTTCAGCATCTTAGCTGTAGAGGGCAGTGTCACTGGCCCTCCTATGTGGGATCCGAACCGGGGCCCTCTGGCATCCCAAGCGAGTTCTTAACCATCGCGCCACTCGGCCGGCCCAAGTCCTGATCCTTAAAGCATGCTTTGGATCATCTTGTTTAACTGCCAGTTTTTTACTGGTTAAGCTTCTGATCACCTTCTTACATTGGTATGAAAAAAATGGAGTTCTAATCTCTTCCATAGAGAATGAGCTGTTCCCCACAGTGTTTGTGAGAAACTGAAAGAGCTACATTATTAGATCTGCTTTTCCAAAGTTTTTGCTCACAAATTTCATAAAAAATTTTGAATATCTGTATCCCCTTATATATTGTAGGTTAACATTAAAGATTTTTTCATATAAAGTTTAAAAAGTTGCAAAGGATATTAATTTTCAGCATACAGTAAATATTGGTATTTTGATTTGGTTAAAGCAATTTATATAAGTGTAGATTTTCATAAAATTAGTTAATTAAACATAAACACTAAAGTTATAGTGGAAATTCATCTCATTGAGATAGGTAGGGCCATTTTAAATTAGTTTTTATGTATCTATCGATGAATATTACCTGTTGGTTCAAGGAGATAAGTTTCAGCAGCAATCCTAGACATGTTTTCATTTTTCTAAAGTAAGTGCTGAGACAGTCTTGCTCGTATGTAAATAAGAGATGGAAGAGACCTTTGAACTCCTTCTGAATTGAATACCTAAAAATCATAAAGATTTATCATAACTTTATATGTTGGAAATAACTTTAGATCCTTTTTCCATTTTGTTCCAAACAAATGTATTGGGAATCACCTTGCTTGCCAAAGAATCCAGTTGTTAGAGTCAGTAACTCTCTCATTACCAACCTGAATATTTCTAATAAATTTTTGTTGGACTCCCAGAAAGTTTTCACTCTTGGGCAAAATACTCTAGTTAGGTCCCAGAAAGTGAGAAATATGTTTTTCTTTGTAAAGTAAAAAAATTAGATTGTAGAAGGAAAGGAGAATGGCTTAGTCTTTTGAGGGAGGGTCTGGTTTAGAAAAGAGTACATATGTAAATTGATGGATTTTTTGAAAATTCATGCTCTCCTAGAGAAGTCTTCAGGTACCCCAGTTTGAAGACCACTATTCTGATACCTTTTGTTGCAAGTCTTTTTAATTGTGGCTTATTAAAATGCATAAACTTATATTGAATATTCTTTTCTTTTCCCATTTTATTTAGATATCTAACAGTGATACGCCTTCACCACCACCCGGTTTATCAAAATCTAACCCAGTCATCCCTATCAGCTCATCCAATCACAGTGCACGGTCTCCTTTTGAAGGGGCAGTAACTGAGTCACAGTCGTTATTCTCAGATAACTTTCGACATCCCAACCCTATTCCAAGTGGGCTCCCTCCTTTCCCTAGCTCCCCACAGACACCCAGTGACTGGCCTACAGCACCAGAGCCACAGAGCCTCTTCACATCAGGTATAGAACACCACTAGCACATGGTAGCGTGTTAATAATTTGATCAAGATGGTACCGTTGCTGAATGTGTTGTTATTCTTTTTCTCCCCACTCCCCCTTTCATAAAAATGTAAACATTTAAACTGTATGGAATTGGATGGTTAGATAAGTTGTTGCATGACCTAGAGCTCACTATATTAACAGATTTCTCCCAAAATCAATGGTTAGATTATTTTTCCAATAATAAAACACTTCCTCCTCTAGGAAGTATTAAGGAGTTACATTTTTAATCAGATTTATGTTTGTATAGTTAAATCTAAGATTTTTTTCTGCGGCTGACAAAAGTGTTAGTTTATATTAAACGTTATATTTTGGCATTTTTGAGCCATTTCTGTTTTTTATTCATTATAAGTTCTCTTATTAATGTGAAGGATGACATAAAATTAACATCGACAATAGCACCTATTGTTAGTGGAGCAGACATTTTAAAAAACTATAAAGATTAAATAAATACTTTTATTAAGTTATATTATTTTTTCTTAGCAGTGTATATAGCGTATATTCAAAATTATTTATACTTTGTCTTTAATAAATACATTAAAATACTCTTTACTAATAAATTCTGTGATATCATATTTGTTATTACTTTATTTCATTTAAATGACTTATTCTGGGTTTAAAATTATGAACGACTGAGTATAATTTGGGTTTCAAGTACTTTGTTTTCTTTGATTAGCAAAATCAGTCTATATTATTCAGTTTTCAAAGTTAGTAACTTAAGAATGAACTCATTGCTAGAAGTATATGAGGTCTTTTATAATTTTACAATCTTAATGTGCTAAAAAGTCATATATATTTCGTATATATTCGTCTTTATCTTGTAATATGATGTTTAACTTTCTCTAGTGTGGATACTCATTAAATACAAAAGTGAGGGATGTATTTTAAATCTATCACTGATTTTCTCCCCCCCAGAAACAATCCCAGTATCATCGTCTACAGACTGGCAAGCAGCATTTGGCTTTGGTTCTTCTAAACAACCAGAGGATGACTTGGGTTTTGATCCCTTTGATGTCACTCGAAAAGCCTTAGCAGACCTGATTGAAAAGGAACTGTCAGTCCAAGACCAGCCCTCCCTTTCACCCACATCTCTTCAGAACTCCTCTTCACACACTACAACCGCCAAAGGCCCGGGCTCTGGGTTCCTGCATCCAGCTGCACCTGCAAATGCCAACTCTCTCAGTAGTACCTTTTCAGTCTTGCCACAGAGGTTCCCTCAATTTCAGCAGCACCGAGCGGTTTATAATTCATTCAGTTTTCCAGGCCAGGCAGCCCGCTATCCTTGGATGGCCTTTCCACGCAATAGCATCATGCACTTGAACCACACAGCAAACCCCACCTCAAATAGTAATTTCTTGGACTTGAATCTCCCGCCACAGCACAACACAGGTCTGGGAGGGATCCCTATAGCAGGTAGGTTCATTTATAGCCTTTGAGAATTTGTGAATAACTCATGCCTTCAGGTTGTTGGGTGGGTAGGGAGGGAGCTTGTGAATAACAGAATACGTATCATTAGTCTTGGAAATTTCTATGGAAAAAAATTTAAAGTCCTTAATCATAATCTAAAAATGTTTTAATTGGGTGGATGCCTTGTAATATTGAGCTTTATAAGGATGGTGGAGTATTATACCTAGTTACTGCTTAGAATCATTTCACTTAATAGGATAGTTACCAAACTTGCATATGGCATATAAATACAAAAAGAAAAAGAAAAAAAAAATGGGCTCTGAAATTATGGTGCTGTAAAGTCCAACACCATGGTAAAAATTACGATTATACATTCTAAAAGTAAGCTGGTTCAAAAATTTTTTAAAGCTGTTAATTAGTGAGAGCATGAGGGATAAAGCCACTAACTACTTTTGGCAGTTACTTATTTTGACTGATACACACGTGCACACACACATATCAAAACTGTGCTATATGTTAATAAAGTACTTAATAGTTGAGAACTCTGATTATTAATGTTTTACAGACATATATGTGCATAAGTATACTTTCTGTGAAAAAGGAATTGTTCGAGGAGAGAGATTTTCCCTTTTCGTCTGTCATTTTTATTTTTGGGGGAAATACTAAATTCCTTTAGTGATGCCAGAATACTTCTGGTTTTGTACTGCTACCCTTGAAGGTTTCAGAACTTTTGGTTTTTAAAGTCCCATGTAACATTAGATCAAGTGACTTCTGTATCTAATGGAATCATTCTTATTAATAGTTGTTTTCTTTTTTTTAATTTAATTTGGGCTTTAGAGATGACTGATCAGAGAGAGAGTTTGTTCCTCTCTTGATTTTCTTAAGTAAAATAGAGTAGCCCCTCACTCATTATAATTCATAAAATTTATTTTTATTCCTTGTCATAGCCTTAAGATATGACATGGCACAGCGTTGTTGTAGTAAGGTTCTGTTACAGCAAGTCGTTGGGTCTGTTGTCTTGAGCAAGGTTGATAGATGACTTTACAGATACCCATCAAAATTCTTTGTCTCTAACTTTTTGTGACCAACAATATTTCATTTTTAAGACAAGTAGGTAGGTTGAGAGAGTATTTGTTTGTGGCTGTTGATACAGTGAAGTTAGCAGTTGATACAGGGAAGTTAATTTACATAATCTAGATAGCACTTACTGTAGTAGTTTGCACATCAGTGGGACTCATGATATTTGTTTATTTGATGTGGTAGTTAGTAGGTGATCCAGAGTGACATTTTTCAATCCTCTCCTTCTGTATGACACTCACTTATGAAACACTAAGTGTTCAGTTCCTGGTATTCCTTTTTTTCTTCCATTCATGACAGTGTAGTAAAGTGTAACTTCGTGTTGTTTTGCTTTGCTTTAATAATTTAGAAATGTAGCATTTTAATTACTAGTAGTGTATCTCATAACTGATTATAACATGAAAAGTTAAGGTTATGTTCTCCTAAATATTCTAAACATTTAAAAATAAAATAGTAAACCATTACAATGAATATTTGGGTTCCTATTTGCCCGACAATGAACTGGGCCATGTGGGTAATGCAAAAGAAGTATAAAATAGGATACGGTTTCCAGGTACTTTACAGTGTAGTTGAAGAGATAAAATTAAGATGGTAAAAGTAACTATGATACTGGAGTCCTAGAGACATTCCTGGAGCTTATACTTGTTGGGGAGGCGTCACTGAAGAAGTAGAAATTGATCTGTGCTGTGGTATCTTGGATTTGGGTTAGCAGGAGGGAACGAGAAAGGCCTTTTATGTTGATGGAAACGCCTAAATACAGGCATAGAGGCAGGAATCAGTGCTGTGTCATTACTATAAGAAGGAATAGATCTGCCTTCTATAGCAGGAGGTGCTTCATGTATTGTAGAGAGAGGATGGATGAGAAGATGGGGTGCTCAGACAGCAAGGCAAAATGGCAAGGACTTGACACGCTAGGAAAGAGAAGGCCTTTTGTGGAACCCTAGTTCTAGCTGTCTTCCTTGTGTGCTTTTATTTGACTTCTTACATGACCATTATCTGTTCTTCCAATTATCTGTTCTTCCAGTTTTATAGTTATCATGTTGTCCATTAGCACAAAAAGAGCAGTTTTAATTCAAACGTTTCGAGGTGTTCTGGAAACTCCCCAGTGGGAATCAGTAGTCACTCATCTGTGAGTGTAGTTGTCGTCTTGTTAGTCATTTGAAATCTTTATCTAGTAGATAGATAAAATTGTGGTCCTATCTTTATGGGGTTTTCTTTCGATATGTACTCAACCATAGAGCATAAAATACTTTTTTTTCCAGAAATTCTAAGGAGGAAGTCACCAACTGTAGGTTCTGAAACATTGTACTTTGTGGGAGGTGGGGAGATTATTTCAGAGGTTCAGTTTTTGACGATACATGCTTGCTTGGTATTTAAATGGTGACTTATGATTAAGCTTATTATTAGATGTTTTTAAGGCTCTGATGACTAGAGAAATTTTAGTTTTAAGGTACTAAAATATTCAAAATTGTTATCAAGAATTACACAGAACCTTCTTAAGACCTATAAATATTTGGCAGAAACCTCAGGAAGCTGAATGTGCTAAGCCTTAGAACAGAACAGCCGTATAATTGTGGCCAGATGATTTATGATTTTCAGTAACAATTAGAAATGACAGAAAGTAAAATTCTGGAAAACTGTGTACATCATAACTGTGTCTAATTTGAAGCAATTTAATCCCTAGGCAATACCTGCCTCCCCCACCCCTAGTTGTAACTCAGTTGTACTTGAGTTGAACCATTGAAATAGGTTCAACTTTGCATCCTGCAATGAATAAGTGTCATGGTGTCTTACACAGGGTAGCTGTTCCTTAAGGCTTCATAATGGAGAATATGTACTGTTTCAGTGAGAGCAGCCACTTTAAGATATGCTTGAACAATATTCTACACTGGAAAAGGCATGTGTATTTATTCTTTAGTGAGGGTAGAGCAAAATAGAGTCCCGACCTTCAGGAGCAAATACTCAGACGTGTCAGTCACCTGCATATCATACAGATACCATATCTATATTTATTATCTATTTGTATTTAAATTTTTAGTTTGGGCTTGTTTCAGTTAATTATTAAAAATTGATATATCTGAAACCTATCATGGGAAGGACAGTTACCAGAGGTTTGACAAACGTAGTTTCCATTTCCTTTGCCTAATTGAAAATTTTTGTGTTTAAAATTAGTTACTACTTTAATTAGGAGAAATTTTTTAACAGCATTTTCTTGGCAGCACATTCAATTTGTTAAGTTTAGAAGGATTTTTGAAATAAATATTCTTGGGGGAAACTTTGAGTAGTGGGTAGTTAGTTATAGTAAGTCCACTCAAATCTTTTTAATTATCAAAACCATGTACTTTTGTTTTAAAAAGCAACTTATCTTGTCCAACTCCTCATTTTAGGAATGGCAAAACTGGCTTCCAGAAAGGTTAAATAATTTAAGGTCACACATTCAATTAGTAAGAAAATTAGGCTAAGAATCCAGATTCCAAATTCAGTAACAAATGTTTTTTCATTACAACATGGACTCTCTCCTTCATCAGCGAAGACCACTGGCATGCACCTTCACTTTGGCTTTCTTCCCGTAGTAATTGATTTTTGCTCTCACACGCTTGCAGGTCCCTTTTTTATCAGCAGAATCTATTTGTGAGACAATTGGCGCAGCTCAGGAATATGGCCTGTAGTTTACAAACAAGAGGGAAGTTTATTGACTTGATGAAAAGGAATCTTTTGCTTAGTCCTCATTAGTACCATGTTCTCACCAAGAATTCTTATCAAATTTCCTTTACACACCTTCCTTGCTATACACTTGGGGTTTATACAATCTTTGCCAATTTACTGAAAAACTATGAAATAACCTGTTCTAAAGGCTGGAAGTCCTTTTTCTTCTTCTTGTCAGTTAAGCTATCTTTCCAAATGTAATTGTGCAGATACTTTTTCCAAGGAATTCTGCCAAGATGTGTTTATTCCATAATGCTGAAAATTATTTGGAAAACAAATACTTATAAGTCTAAGTCTGTAAGCATTATTGTTTTCAAGACATATTTAGAAAAATATTTGAAACTGTTTAGGATTGGATTTTTTTTATGTTTTTGATCATTCAGTTTTACTTATGAGAGGGTATTTTTCTTTAAATTTTATTTGTTTCTGAATTAGCTGTTTTAACAGTGACTTGATTGGATTTTGAGTCATGTGTGAAACAAGTCACTTGTAGCCAAATAATTATCAATTATAATTAGGAGAACTGATCTCATTTCATGTGTAGTTCTCTGACCTAGAAGTAGTCATTTCGCTTTCAGTCAATTGGATCATTGTATTGTTGTGAACATTTTACTATTTTCTAATTACTTCAGAAGTACACTTTAAATTTTGAGACACTATATGGATATTTGCTAAATTAATATTTATATCTTTTAATTTCCCCTTTCTAAACATAATTTTTGCGTTTAAAACATGAATTTGTCATTTTTCCCTTTTAAAAATTACATTTTCACTTCTATGAATTTAATTTTAATTTTTTCACAAAATACTACTCATCGTTAGCAGTATGTAAATTTATAAAGGGTCCAATTGGCTTGGAAAAGAATGGCTTACCTGGTCTCTTTTTTTTTCCTTTTTGTATATTTATAATCCTAAATCTATTATATTTGTTCTCATATCTGACATAGTGTTAAATTTAAGGGTATGTTTAGAGTGTAACTATTTTCTAGGTCCTTGATAAGTTGATATTTAAAAATTCTTGTCTTGTTTCACACCTGGATTCCAACCATTAAGCATGTGTTTTATATATGTATCCGTATTCCAATTATTGAAATCATTTTTAAAGGGACTGTTCACAAATCTAGTCACCCGTAACTAGACCATGACTGACTTTTCCACAGGGGAAGAAGAGGTGAAGGTTTCGACCATGCCACTGTCAGCCTCTTCCCATTCATTACAACAAGGACAGCAGCCTCCAAGTCTCCACACTACTGTGGCCTGACCCCGAACTGAGAGGAGAGGATTAGACTCTGGGGTGCTTGCATGGGCAACCGGATTGTTGCATGATTCTTTCTGATTTTGCATTTAATGTATACACCCAAAAGAGCCAATATAAACGTTCCTCATGCCTACAACTAGTGTGTTACCTCATAGCTGCTCCAGTATTTCTTCCTTAGGCCTTTAACACGATTTATTAGCATAATAATAATTTTGGCATTGTTTCTCATGAGTGATCCTATTTTTAACTCACACAAATAAACTTGTAGCACTAATTAAGATCCCAGATGAGATTAGCTAGAATTGTTCTTATTTTGGCTCTCTTATTGAACATATACAAAGATAATGGTAGTTCCTTGTTTTCTGATTTGTGAAAAAAATGGTAATATCCTAATATACTCATGAATACTTTGAAAATTAAGAAGATAATGTCGTATTGCATTCTTTGAATACTTGAGAAGAAAGAATACATATAAAACAAAATTGGTGGTGTCATTTTATGCTCAGAAGGATGTTGTCAGCAATTGTTTTTAGTTGTATGGATTTATAGCCTATATTATGCATTACATGTTTAGAAACTGTTTTTGTTCTCTCTCATTTGCACATTTGCACTTTCTTTTTGAATGGTTGTTAATTATATGTAGAAGGTTAAAAGCTAATTATTATAGACTAAATGCAATATAAACTCTTTTCTAACGCACTGCCTAGTATACCAGGAAATGCCTCAGAAACAGAATTTCAACTTAACAGTTGATTTATCAGAAACTTGAATATGGGGTTAAACATTGTATGAGAGAAGCGACCATAGTAGTGTAACTTCTTTTTTTTTTTTTTTAAACAAACGGTACTTCTGTGGGATATCTGTTTGGAAATTTCATTGTTTAATCATTGAAATGTGATAATAAAACTGTATTACAAGTACCTGACCAGAATGGGATTAAGGTGAAAGAGAAGAGATTGGGGAGCCTCTAAAATTAGGCCACATAAGTTGTCATAGATAAGTTTAGTTATTCACAGAGAATAGTGGAGTGCTTTATTAGGACATAATGTGAAGTGATATTTTTGGATAATACACAATTTCTAAAAAATAGTTTTAAAACTGATAATGAAAGAAAATAAACAGTTTGATTCTGAACAGTGGACCAAACCTGATTCAGAAAACATGACCTAAATTAAACCACTGGAAAGAAAGGAGAAAGGCAGAGCTCCTCTTGAGGTTTTCAGAAACAATTGTGACTTCAGAGATTTGCCTTAACTGGTTACAAATATGGAAAGGGTAACATGAATACCCCAAAAGGAAGCCTAGGGATTTAAAATAACAATAAAACACCTTCTGAGGAGAAGATACTAATAATCATGCTGGAGTTGGAGTCTTCAAGGTTACTTCTCTATATAAAGTCTGATTACTTTCTATTAGATACAATACAACAAATTAAATGGCTTTGTCCTGAGGTGTGGTGGGATAAACTAAAATCTGTTCTTAGATATCCTTTGGTTTGGTTAACTGAAGGTGTAGAAACAGCTAGTTACCTGGCCAGTGAAGTTATTGTTGTGAAATTCTGCATATATGACAACCTCTAATTTTTCAGAAGTGATTTAAGACAGCATTACAGGAAATTTAGAAAATACAAATAAAATATCATAGGCTTATTAGACAGAAGCTTTTTTATCGTAGGTTAACGATGGTTTCATTTTTACTGTAAGGGGCAAAGACATCCATTTAATGTCTCTTGTGGTGCTAAGGCTTTGGGGCTTCTTTAACACACTTGGGCTCCCTGTAATGAGGCTTTAGAGCAGAGCTTTCGCCAGCCTTCAATGCAAGCCTTTCACCGCCTGGATCTTCTTACAAAGACAGAAGAGGTGATTGACTCCTATTTACTGCTTCTCTGTGTTGAGAGATAACACCTGGTAAACCAGGCTTCTTTCTTTCCTGGGGTAGCTTTCTCTCTCCTTTCTCACTCCTAGCCTGTGCCAAAAAACTTGCTAGACTTTCTAGAACCCAGAATTGTTTCCCCGCCTGCTTCTCCCCCTCCCCTCTTCCGCACACGCCATATTGCAGGACAGTGCTTCTGGGGCAATTAGGCACCAACTTAATATATTTTATCTTTTACCTAGAGAGCTCGATTATCTTTTAACTATATTTTGTAATTATGAGATCTTGTAAGCCTAAGAATAAGAAGCCTGACTATTTTGCATACTTAAATTTCATGTAGTACAGTTTTCTTTTTAAAAAAATGAAATCTTAAAATGGTAGTCATAATTAATTATACTAAAACGCAGAAGAAATTACACAACACACAAAAAAAGGCACCACTTCACAAAGCAAGTGAATTGATGAAACCAAATGATGGTAAAGAATGAGAAATTCTAAAAAGCTTCAGATTGTTCCTGCATGACCTATCACGTGCAAGGGAAATTTTGTATGCTTTTACATACTTAACCTTTAAAAGGTGACTAGCCTGTTCCTTCAGTCAGGAATTATACCTAGAGTCCAGAACTCTTGCAAAGTTATGAGTTTTGTGTGTATGTACATCTGTCCATTTTTTTTCTGGGGAGAAGAGCCGTAGTTATTAGATCTGTAAAGGGTTTGATGACACCTCCAAGAAAAAAAGTTAGGAACTTCTGCCTTGAAATATTTTTAGTGCCACTGTAGGAAATAGAGGCCTAGACTGAATGATTTTAGTCACACGATGAATGTCAAATACCTCTTTATTTTCTTCAAGGTTCCATTAGACCATATATTCTGATTAATAATACTTTTCCTTTTTAGCCTACTGTTTTGTTTTTCCAGGTTGGTGCTGTTGTATACTCTCCCCTTATTTCAACAAGCATTAATTAAATATTTGAGTGCCTATTTTAATTAAATATTTGAGTGTAGTAACCTGAGCTAGATCTTGAGGGATATAAGGTTGTGTAAACTATAGACCCTGCCATCAAGGATAATAGTTTAGTGACAGTTTTATTTCACATTATTCCTATAAGGTCAGCTCTTGATATATTTTAACCATACGAACAGCCATGGCAGTCCAGACTTATTTCCTTCTTTATCACTCTGACAGTGACAACAAAGTATTGACTACTGATACTTGAAATTTTAAAATATATGATGATTGGGCAGAAGTGAAAAAAATCTTAACAGGGAAGACATCCATTCGTTATTCTAATTTAGGTATTTCTCAGTCGTGTGTGCATGCTCATGTCTCTTACTCTTTACTTAGTGTCCTGGAACTCAAGTAGAGCTTTCTATATATGTGTCCTTTTAAAGAAAACAGCTTTAATGCATTGTGTCTGTGCACATTGTTACTGACATGGCTCCTGTTTGTACGGTATCCCAGGCACCTTCAAGACTGCCAGAGCTCTCTTCTGCCGGGACACAGGCTTGTAGGGAGCTGCTCCCTCAGAGACATTGCCTCAGAAAGCCAAGAGAAAGGAACGAATTGCAGGTGCACTGACATCTTACAAAATGAACACACTGCATTTGTTACATATATGCAAAAAATGGGGGACATTTTTCCTATGTCGAGTTGTAAGGTTTGGGATTTTTTTGTTTCTTTGATCATGAAATTTCCCCAAATCTGCTTAATTGGCTGTAAGACATAGACATAACTGAAAACACAATAACTTTAAAAAAAATTATAAACATATATATATACACACATACACATGTGTATATATATAACATATGTATATATAATATGTATACACATAGAATATATGTGTATATATAATATAAGTATATAATATGTATATATATATGTATATATATATATATATATATACACACGTGTGTGTGTGTGTGTGTGTGTGTGTGTGTGTGTGTGTGTGTGTGTGTGTCTTTTCTATAAAATATGACTAGAGTCAGTTCTCTGGTGCCAAGCTAGCCCTTCTGCACTTAGTGCTGTGTCTTTGTCCTCTTGGCCTTTTTATCTGGATGAGTACCTACTACATTGTCTCCTTGTGCTGAATCAATGACAGTAATATATGCAGGTATGACACATGAGATGTTTAGTAAACTAAGCAGACACTATGCTGATATAAAAGTAAGAATGGGAGCTAGAGAAAGAGTTATTGTAAGCTGGTTCAAGGAAAGTTCATAAAAAGGAGGCCTGAAATTTAGATGCTGAAAGGGGAAAATACAGTAAAAAGAACAGCTTGAACACAGAACTAGCGGCAGAGATTAGCATGGTCCGCAGGAGTTAGGAGGGTAGGACAGAAGGAGACAGACACTTGTCTGAGGTGTCCAGGTTATATAGAAAGTGGGATAAGTGTGCAAAAACCTCGAAAACAAGGAAGAAAAGTTTAATCTTGATGGGGGTGTGGTCCATGGCAGAGAACTATAAGTTCTTTGGTAAAGATGTAACTTGATTGTAGCATTTGTTGGTAATATGTTTGTTTGAAATTAGGACCAGTTAGAAAGCAGTTTCCAGTATGCCGTTGCTGACCAGTGCAAACAAGATGGCCTGGACTAGAACAGTAATAGTAGGAATGGCGAAGAAATTGTGAGTTAGAAGTCAGAAAGGATGAGATCTTAGAAAAGGCCTTTGGGTTTGGCTACGTTTCTAGTGACCTTTAAAAAATGTAACTTGCATAAAAAGGTACAGATAGAAATCAGATTCCAAGATTCCTAGGATTCATGAGAAAATGTCAAGAACATGGATGCCATCATCACTGGCTACTTAAGATATTTGGCAAAGGGGAAGAGAACAAGAAGCTCACTAGATGGGGGGCGGGAGGGGGAGTGATCTTAGAAGGTATGGCTTTAAGATAAGTGAAACACCTAAATATCTGCAGGCAACACATATAGAGCCAACTGAGAGGAGGACATGGACAGGGCTGAAGAGAAGATAGACTAATCAAGTAGGATAACAGATTTATCTGGAGGTTTTCGGAGGAAGTAAGCTCCTGAGATGAGGTTAGGGTATGGGTTTAGCTTTCGGGAGGTAGGATGTAGCTTCCTTTGTTATTTGTAAGAACAATCAGAAAATCTAGGGGAGAGACGCTGAGATTAGAAAGAATGAGACTAGATGGAGGGGCTCATACCAGCAGTTATTAACTGCATACTGTGTGAGGATGGAGGTGAAAGAGTGGAGCTGGGAGCCTATAAAGAAAGGAGATGAAATAAAACTGGGAGGATAGCCTAGACGTGCATTGGAAAGAAATTAACGAATTACTAAGTCAAGACAAGGATCAACTTTAAAAATGTTAGAGTCTAAATATGTATAAGTTTGTATGTTCCTCTGGTTCAGCCCAAAGCATCAGGAGTGAACAAAGCAAATACTGAGAGTTTGGTTAGAAGGTGAAGAAGAGAAGGCCACCAAGATACTCAGGAAGACAATCTTGAAATCCCTAATCTTGTGGTCAAGAAGAGTCCACCCTGGCGGGAAAGAACCAGTGGCGTCAGTATGTTGAGAGAGTCCAGTGATTTTCGATTTTGATAAGGACAGAGAACACGAGTATACTGCTGTTAAGGGAGTGACAGATAGGGGCCTATATGGTCAATGTGATGACCACTCAGGGCTAAATGATGAGTGAGAACCAGAGAACGGATGGCGGGTCAATATCTTCACTTTAGGTCTGGTGTTTGGAAAGAAGGCTAGCTTTCGTAAACCCTCTGATCTCTTCCCTACCTGTTTTCCCTCCAGTCCTTTCTTGAGAGTGGGAAGTTAGACTGTATGAAAGAGAATTGCAGAAAGCATGGTATTGCCTGGGGGAACCCTGGGTCAGGTTTCCTGTAAGTTGAAAATGATCCAAAAGGAAACTTCCTGCAATAGAATAAACAAATAAGAAATAAAACCCTGTTTAAATGCAGCGAGGTTATAATACTGGTGCTCACCTCACCCCAGGTCATGTTTATCTGAATAAATATTTTCAATACTTTTTCTTATCAAATTTCACTCCCACTACCAAAGATATCCATCCCATGTCACACTCTTTGGGAAAACCTAAGGAAAGGTTAATTAAAAAGATTTGTATTAGAATCATGAAATTTCAGAGCTGTGAAGAAGATAGCGTAGTCTTGCACAATCCTCCTTGTAAAGACCAAGTAATAATAGTGACAATAGTAAACAAGGCTCAGAAGGATTGTGATTGGCCCCTAATCACAGTCTAACAACAATTTAGAGTTCTGTTAGCCTTCACTATCTGAATTTGCTCTCATACGTGTAACTCAAGGAGAAAAAAACTTTAAGATTCAGAATATATCTCTTCTCTAAAGTTTGTTGTATCTTACAGTTTGATTATTATAGTAGTTCTCGCAAGTGAAGGGCTTTCAGCTGTGAATATCAGTGCAGATAATGAAGGCTTTCCAAGTGGCAGCTTATCACAGATCCTGTAAGTTGTCAGAACAGCCTTGTATTGAATGCGGCCCAGTGGTCTTGGAGTAACTTTAGTAGGAGGGAAAAGTAACCTTGGGGTACTCGTAATGTAGACTTAACATAATTACCAATGTCAGAACCAAAATGAAGAGTAAAACAGGTGGAAATTAAATTTACCTGGGAATTTTCTACAGTGCCAAAGAGCGTTTAAGAGCTGACATGCATGACACTAGACTGGTGACATCTCTAATAATACAGAATGAAAAAAATCTAGTAATGGCATCAACATGTACCGCACCCACACCAAAGGCATGATCTCAAGATTCATCTTTGAAGAGCTGCTATATGCTACGCTGTGTAAAATGACAGCATATCTGATTTTTTTTTTTTTTAATCACGGAGGTTATTGTTTTCAGCATAATGCAACAGAGGGGAAGTTCCACAAGGATATAAAGATGCTAATACCATCACCATCTCCAAGAAGAAATGCAGGAAAGTGACGGCAATCAACTTTTATAGCCTAGTGCTGTTTCCTAATATGGTGAGATCTTATCCCAAGGACTATACTCGCACTTATACTCTGTTCACAGCCTTGCATCCTGAAGTAATGTGTCTACAGAGCAGAACTTAGTGATCTGGAACATTACTGGGATGTTTTGAAACATTGTCATTTTCTGTGTTGGCATTTGCAAGAAGACTTACCCCGCGAAGCCGTTCATTTTTTTCTTTATTGCATCAACAAATTGTATCCAGCTAAAGGTAAAGGAGGCTCTGGGTAATGACTTCATCAACCAAGTAGGAAGGTTTCATATTGTCACTGAGCTGAGTGTTGGGATACATACCATAGTTGCACTTATGTTTTCTCTATATTTAAAAATATAAGTTTTTATTAACATGTATTATTATGGATCATTGATATATCCCCCTCATCCCCCATTTAGGGTGAGATTTGATACCAGGTATGCTTTGTTTTACTTCTAAACTTAACATTCACTAAGTAACCTAACCGTAGTCCTTACCAAGTCCCAGATAAATATAACATATCTTGGTTGAGTTTTAATGTAGTCAGTGCTGCGAGGTGTAAACTCCCAAGACCTCACCTGTATTTTAAATGGTAGGGGATTAAAATGAAGCCTGTCACTAAAGTAAGCAAAGATCTCATATAACCTGCAAATAAATACACACAGCCATGCAACTTTTGTTTTATAACATGCTTTCAAGTTTTAATTCCTGACCACTTAATTTAATTTGATCATTTAATTCAATGAGCCTTCTTTTGATAGCTTGTGCTCACCTCTCTATCCAGTTGCTTTTTTTTTGGACAAAGAAGAAATCGTTTCTGTCCCTGTGTAACTTACTGCATTCGAAGGGGGTGGACTCGGCTAGATCTTAATGTGCACTACCTGTATGATTCCCTGACTGGCCTGAACTGTCCCTTTTGAAAGGAGATGGCCCTGTCCCCATCATGCTGCCGAATCTCTATGACCAATTATCTCCCCAGCAACCATTCGGCTACCGTTCAGCTGTTGCCAAACTGGCTTTTGATTTTAAGTGATCATATTCTTTCCCTCTTTTAAATCAAAACACATTTAAACAGAAAGCATAGTCTGGGTTTGGAAGTAAATTGACAACCATGCACTGTTAAATGTCGAATTGATAAAATTCGACTGGTGTTATGGTGTGATTCACTTTCCCCAGCTTCTGAGTTACTCTAGCCCTTTTAAAAGCCACCTCATATTTCTAGACAATATGACTAAAATTCCCTGTTTTACAAATATGTGTGACTGATAATAGAATTTATTTGTTTCACTAAAATGTTAGTTCTAGTTCAGCATAAAGCTCCAGGATATAGTGAAATAAGAATTGTAGTTTCTAATTTATATTTGAGAATGTATTCACCTGATCTTCCTTCTTTCCTGCGTGCCTGCCTGCCTTCACAGTAAGACTCAACACAGATTGGGAGTTTGTTCTGTCAAGACTGTCACTGGCAGTCTTTTCCAAATTCAAGTATAATAAATCATAGCTAAGGAGGAACACTTAAATAAATGTATATTTTAAATGATTTGTAACTAAGACTTCTTAGTGAACTGGTGGTGAGCATGTAAGTCTTTGAATTCATCAGGGTCTTGAAAGGATGCATTCTTATTAGTACTAATTCTTTTAAAATCAAGACATCATCTGAAAGCTGGAAGTAAAAAGTTTTTTATTTTCCCTCGTATGTGAATAAATATGTAGTGAGGAGAAAAAGTAGTCTTGCTTTTTTAAATTACACATTACATAACTAAAATAGTTAAATTT